TGCTCCCCCCAGACCACGGTGCCTTGAACGTGTTAAGAAGACGTACGTGGGATGGCGTGGCCCAGGAGTTTGTCAAGAAGAGAAGCAAGATCGAGCAACAGGCGCCCTGATCGCTCGCTCATCCGGATAACCGATTACACTGCACCACCTCTCAGTCCGCTGACAGCTGCACGTCATCTTTTGGGTGGCATGAGTTCAACAGCATGTCTGGATATCCAAATTAAATACCCTGACAACTGTTCTATCCGGTTATTTGGTTAAAAGCCTTCTGCTCTTATCGTAAGCCCCAGTCAGATAATACACCTTTTTTTTTTTACCTGATGAATGAATGGCATGGGCGTTCAAAGAGAATTTATGAATTGGTTTAATGGTTGGTGATTAGCTGCAATATGTTATGTTTATGCTTTATATTGAAAGAGGGAGATATTAATGTAATACCATAATATTTATCGTGTTGAATTTCAAGAAAGCAGAGCCTGAGACTTTTATTTTAGAAGCTGATAAAGTATCATAATAAATTTATAGGCCTTTTTCACTGAAATGGTCATATTTCACAAAAGTTTTACATTTTTACTTAGGTTTCTATTGTTCTCCTCTACAGAAATTTTAGATTAATTATCTTTTGAATTTTGACATTCATGAAGCGTGTTATGGCATTCTCTTTTGCTTTCCTTTTATAGTGACTTGACTATTTTGCGTGTGTACATTTTCCAAGAATAGAAAATAGAAACCATTTCTGACAAAACTATTTTAGCATCTCCACTATGTGGACTAGCTTTGTTTTGTTTTTCTTTGTTTCTTGTTTTTTTTAACTCCACAGAGAATTATTTTGAACTTTCTTCTAGAAACATAAAATGACCAGGATAGAAATGATATGTATCAATATTTTAAGACCTTTTCCGCTCGGAGCAATGAATTCATGTCCATATAGTATTTGAGAGTCAAGCTGTTCGGTTAGATGGGGTCAATGGTGAAGAGATGTTGCTTTTGCGTGAAAGTGTCTGAAAGAGAATGTCACATCCTGCATAAATTGACCGTTTCTATTACATGACAATGTAGCAGTTTGCATTACTAATTGCTTGTGATAATAAACAATATATGTGAGGCAGCGTGGTGGAATCAGGCTCTCGTCAAAATGATCAAAGTGAAGAAATTTGCATTTTTACGTAGGTTTTTGAATTTTTATCAAATTTTTGTTTTTGGCTCAACACCTTTCATGCCCAATAAAGAACTCAGTTCTGTGTGGATTTTTCTGAATAGCGTTGATTAAACACACAAAAAATGTAAATTTTAAGTTACCAAGGACTTTTAAGCTAAAGAAATAACTAATCTTTGGCGGCCATTTTCTCATTAATTTTGCCTCTCAAAATAGATGACCTCCATCTCCTTCATTCACAAATATCTCAACTTGTATTCAAGATAAATGGGTATTTTTTTCATACAAATAAAGACAACTGAAGAAGCTTTAAGATGATACCAATAACTCGACATGCCCAAAAACTGATGAGAGCCTGATTCCACCACGCTGCCTCACATATGTATGTTTGATTGCTGTCCATTTTCAAGCATATTTTAGAAGTCATATTGTTCTGGAAATTTGTCCTTTCTGGTTTTTAAAATAGAATTAAACAAAGTGTAAAAGTTAAGCAAATAAAACTATGAAGTGTTTTGATTAAGACAGAATTGAGATACTCATTACGAGCTTTGCTGGGTTTTTTTGTGCTCTTTTTGCTTAAAGAAAAAAAAGTTTCAAAGAAGGAAATTTGCCAGCTATTACCTGTATCAGGAGATTTTTTGTGATGCTAGACTCCCTAGTCAGGTGTCTCTATCTTGACATTTAATCATGAGTAGTGCATAATAATGGGCTCTGATGTCTTCATCATTGCCTTTCTCACCCTGGGTAAAGGTATAGATCTAGGCCTAGAACAAACACTTTCCACCATTCTCCATCTGATGTCTCAATATTGCTTTATCATTGGGGGGTTTTCTACTATTTCAGCAGGTACTGTTTAGGATATTGCATTTTAGTTGCAGATAAGGTTATAATTTTATAGAGTTCAGAATGCTTGAGCGTCTTGCGTGTACACATAATTGACATGTCAACCTTAACACATGCCCTATGGCCTGTGGCCTATCTACCATCACTGGTATAAGCCTAAACCCAAAATTTGTCTTAATTTTTGTGTTTTTTCTTCACTTTCAGACTAAAATCAGATTTTGTCTGAAAACGTATCACATTGTCTCAGTCATAGGCCTACTACACAATTTGCATGAAACACAGCTACGTATATATGTCTCTTTGTAAACTGTAATGATTGACAATAACGAAAAATCTGTCATGATATGATTGTCCTGTTGGCAAATCTGTGTCAAACAAAAATACCAACGTAAACCTGTACATACATGCTTCCTACCTGTGCCCTACTGTCCATCAGCCAACATGGACCTTGACATTTTTGTGTACATAAATTTGTATTGTTATGCTTCATATTTTTCTCACCAATTTTTCATCTCTATCACAGTGGATGAAGTTTCATTAACTACTACACACATTTTTTCACCACCTGTCTGATTTCTACCTAGAGGTATCGGTGCAGCAGTATATTTTCAGTCGACATTTTTTAAGCAAATTGTGCATCAACATTTCTTTTTCTGTCAAACTGAAATTGTCCAAGATAGTTTCAGAATTTTGTGAGCAGGTGAACTCAATATTTAATTTTGGCATAAATAAAAATCCACTTCTGAGTGATTTTATAACAGAACAAAACGCCTGCTGTCTCAAAACACAAACTAAATAACTGCTCATTTTGTTTCAAACTGTCAATCTATTAAACATGAAATAGCTGGAAAATTAACCTTCTCAGCTCTTGAACCCTCATGAAACTACATATATATTTATATATTATATGTGTGTAAATGTAGTTTTAATTTACCAGCTTTCAAAAGTTCTCTACAGCCTGCCTTTGATTACCACAACCCTTGTTCTATGTTCAAAATACATCAAATTCATACTACTTACTTATAAATAAGTTTTTGAAAACATTTTTGTCCATTTAACTACTGTGTCAGTGCATGTACTTGCTGTAACTGCCACTGAATTATTGTAAGGTCAACAGCTCTCTTGCATGCTTCGAATAATTCAACTGGTTTTTTGTTCTATCTTGGCCCTACTTCTGACAAATTAAATGTCCGTTTACTTATATGAAGACTCCAGGGGAGAAAATAGATAAATCACATTTTCTTTTAATTAAACAAGTTTTTTCCCTTGTTGCACCCTCTAAGAATCAAACTTTCTTCTCTACAATAAATGATCCTACGGATAACCCAGCTGTATCATGTGCTAAGTAGGGTGAAAGAAATGCTATACACATAATGAAATACACACTTTCAAACTTTGAATAGTTTCCATTTTCTCCACTTTCCTCAAATGTGACTTTATTGTCTGGTTTTCCCACAGCAGTCTTTTCCTACATGTAGGACCTACAAATGTACTAGCCAATCTGACATGGGGTGATAAATATAAGCATATTATCTTCATCTGCACTGTAAGTTATACATTCACACATAACCGCAAAGACAGCTGACAGTTTTGTGCCAAAGGGAACTACTTAATCTTCCTACAGCACCTTTTGAGTACTGGTCAAGAATATGTTACTGACACTGAGCCCCCTGGCAAATGTTACTCTATTTTTACAATTCAGTGATTCAAAGACAGACAAAGAAACCAATTTACTTCCTTTTAATTATTGCAGCGGCTTTGTGGTTTTTTTACAAAGCATAACGTCCTTCAATCAAAATAATAAATTTTTGATTTGATTTAGTTTAACTTTCTCTGAGAGCAGACTACTTAAGCTGTCTTGTCTACATTTTTCTGAAACTCCAAGTGGTTGTGTCGGGACCAGAAAATATTTGGCAGCTTTATTGTCCCTGATATTGTGATGAGTTTTGTATCGGTTTAGAAAACAGCATCTTTGGAAACTTCAGAGCTCAACTCAAAGTCAGATATGTGTATTTTCAGGAACTTAATTACGTACGTGTGGAGCAGCTGGTTGAAAATCACCTTGTTTTTACGATAACGACAGTAATTGATCGTTGAGTGTGTATCATTATCATCTTTTAGCCTTTTACATCATTTTTTGGGAGGGGGGTATGTCTGTACGTTCACCCCGCCTATATTGTTCCTAACCTTAAGTGCAATAAGTAACACACTTTGAAGATCATTCAGCATTGATAAAGGTGGTTTGACCATTTTTCCAAGCAAGCATTTTTCATTTTTTTAAAAATTAACACGCCTTGTAAATACATCCCTTCAGTTCACTTGTTATTGTGGATAACACTGGCTCTGTTTGTTTCATTCGTTATACGTATATGTGCAATGTCCTTGCTTTGATAAAAACATTTCTCCTGCCCTACCAATTGTCATGCTGCCCTGCAAAATTGTCACTCCATTGACATAACTGCCTCTGCACGTAGATCCTTGTGTGTGATAATATTACAACCATTTTGATTCATCACTCATTAAACTAATTATCACTAGCCTTGCGGGATAAGCCCAAGTTGTGTCACAAATATATGATGTACATGAAAAATGTACCTGGCTGTATTTCCATCTCAAACAATATTCCCACTTATGATCATAAGCTGATCTTGCTGTAATCGCATGATGTGATTTTTTAATATAACATGTATACTTGTGTGACAGTAGACAAGGACCTGTCTATTCCAGGATATTTTAATTGTGAGTTTTTGCAGGTGATTGATGGGCACAGAAGTCTAGTCAGCCTCTTGGGGGTTTTTTTATCAGTCATCCAACAAAATCCATTCCTAGCGAAATGTCTCCGTTATCGTGCCAACTTACGCAAGGCCACAATTTACCTATACTCTGAGTGTATAATAATATGTAGGCTTTGCTTTTCCATTTGATCTTTTTGAAAATGTAAACAACCTCAACATATAGTTTGTTTATATCAGAGTGAAGTTATAATCCAAAATGTCTTCTTTTCTGTCAAGTATGAGAATTTGCACATTCAGAACAAGCACGATAAATGATTTTCCCCTCCTAGGCCATTGACTTTTCAGTCCACGCACATTTAAGACCGAATTTCTTCTTCACATATATGGGGCTGATCTGTTTCTTCGTGTTAATGTTGTTTTATTTTTTTTAAATGATGTGCATAATCATTTCAGTTTCTGTGACAATTTATTTATGATTTGAGGGAATTTTTTTCTCGCTTTTTTTTAAAGAGAGCTCGATATATTTTCTTTTATTTTGCTTGATATCTTCTGTTCTTTTAAAACAATTTGTTGCTGCTCTTGCAGCAGATCTCAAGGTGACTGATTGCCTTAAGGATGACAGAATAGCGCATGCGAGTTGCTTTTTTCACACATTATTTGACATTCCCTTCTGCTCTGTGTCAGCACAGCCTAATTCCAATACCAGTGTGAGAGCTGTGTGATAACACGTTATTTTTCATCTCATCAGACTGTCTTTGGGCAGAAGTGAAACTTGAAAGGATACATATTCAAATATGATTTGAGAAATAGTGTCCCAGAATAAGTTAGAACTGGTGATTTGGGAAACAGGAGATGTAGGCCTAAAGTAAAGCTGTGGACATCGTCTAATCAAATTTCATAAAAACTTTTTGCTCTGTAGATTGAGAAGGCCTCCACCTTTATGATCCAAGGAAGGGGAGCAGGTATGTTTTATGGAGATGACGATTACGAGAATAATTAAAACGGAGTAAGAATTAGCCAGTTATTCATTTTGAATGGCATTTAGGATTAATTACTGACTGAAATATGTCACATTTCGAATCACCCTTCACATTCCCATAATACGGTACCATTTCCTTTCAAAGGACCACAGACTAATATATATCTTGTGACTATAACATTCAACAGATTTATAACAATTTTGCAAAATAGAAGTGTGCATGGAAAGATCAAGAATGTTCTATGGAAGTAATAAATCATTGGTGAGCTGTTCAATTGTTCTAGCCCGAGAAAGCAAATATAATTTTTTTTTTTCAGAAGAGAGAAAAAAAATGGTTTCTTTTTTAAAAACAATAATTTTACCTACCGTACATTATATACCTAAGCTATACCTTTTCTTGCTTTTTTGAACATTTAGAATTTGACTTTCGGCAAAGTATTTCTCGAGTAG